AGTAGGTTCCATCATATTCACCAATAGAACACATCAATATTGTCCGTAGCCTTTTGGAAAACATTTCTCTAGGAAAAATGGAGTGATAAATAATAAATATCGGAGTTTTAAAATAAAACAGAACCTCAGCAGGTTTTCGACAATGGAAAGGATCTAGTAAACTAAACAACAAACACTGTTGTCCGCAATCGTCGACTCCAGACCGCGGAATCCGATTTCCTGCCGCTGTTAATCTTCACAGCAAGGTCAGCAGAAAATGGCGCGTGGTAGACAGTTTACGCTAATAGATCCAAGAAAATATGCACAGTCTCTGTCAGAAACCAGCATGTCAAGATGTCTACCCGTTGCACCCTAGAAGCATGTAAATTTATGACTGAAACATGGTTTCAGAGAGATTTGCAAACAATCGGCTGATTGATTAATTTGGTGACGTTTCGCAAAAGCTACGTCAGACCAGCTTTCGCACCGAAAGCAAAAGGTTGCCAAATAAATAAATCAATCGAGCGTCTGCAAATCTCTCTGAAACCATGACATCTCGATTCGTTCCAAGTATAGCAAGGAGTTCGAATGATGAAAACATTGGAAAAAAAGTCACAGAAGCAGTTAAAAAATAATGCACCCATTAAGCCGCTAAAGTGAAATTATCGAAAGCAACCTAGGCTCTAACAGTTATGACTGCAAAGAAGAGAAACCACAACAAGAACTGCTAAATTAAAGGCTCTGGTTCGATTTGTCACCACCAAAGATTTGACAGAACGTTATTCACTAATGGTGCCGAAGGTCACGGCAATATCCTTTATAACTTCCTTCTAGTTAGATTTACTAGCAGCAAGTGGAAAAAGCCACGGAACATCACAGAGTATGGCACAACAGTCGCCATGGACAAGGAAAACTAATCAGAGCCAAACACGGCTGTGATCACGTTTGCGTTAAGAAAACACCCGAGGATTTGTTCTAATGAGAAGCAAAGTATCTAGCTGGTAGGGTAAGAATTATATCATTGCAAGGAAGAAGTAATCTCCAACAGAAAGCAGTTGAAACTCCGTAGTTTCAACTAGACCCTTAGATAGCCGACTTGTAAATCGGTAATATGAATGAGAAAATACGCGCGCACGGACAAGTTGGACAACTGAGTTTCTGTGGAACACCGCTGTTGCCTACTGACTCTTCCTCCTAGCCAAACGGAAGTACACACATATTGTTGATTTAGACAAAGAGTTCCAGTCCTATTTTCAGATTGAGTCATGGATTCGGGCTATCTTTCATATTGTCAAAACTGTACGCAATACTGAACTTGTAAGACGGTTGAGTCGTGCTCCGGTACTCCTAGTTTCCGTGAGCATGCCACTCAAGTAACTGCTTAGGCTGTTCATTTCCTAAAACCGAACTACTTAAAGAAGTCTAAAAAGCTTTTGATCTAGTCATCTGCTTTAACTGGCTTAGAAACATGCGATAATGTTTCCAGAATTTTCATTGTTCTCATATCCAGCGTGAAGTATCACACGTGCTGCGCTTGGACGACGAACGATTAAGCAATACAGACAGATATCAGTGAAGTGCTGCGGAACTGAGGGAAACAATGGTGAAGGTGCTGATAACAAGCTGAAGCCCTCCTCTAGCAGACTAACCTAGAACTGACAGTGCGCGGGCATCGGCTACGGAGTGAGGTCCCGCCAATGCTTGCTCCCCAATCGCTGCCTCCTCCTGGATTATAGTCAAATGAAATATTCACTATCGCCCTTGGATGAAACAGACAGGCTAAACATGCAAAAATACGTGAAACACACCATGGTTTCATTTTGAAATAAACCATGCGATCATTACTTAGGAGGTCAGTAATATGCGTAGGCAGCTACAAGTGTCAAGCATGTGCTCCACCCGAAATGAGAATGACTCAAACTGCACGAAGCAATATACTTCGATAGTGGAAGCAGATTTCAGCACAGTCGAGAGAATACGCATAGTAGGATTCATGCAGGCGCATCTGTTGAGACGCCCTTTGCTGGTAACTTCATTGCATATGTCCGGCTGTTAAGCTAGGTAATCCAGGCAGCTACAAGTAGACAAGCTTAGTGACCACATCGGATGAGAGGTAATCGCCGAAGCCGCGTCCCCAGGGCAGAGCAGTTTGGATGGCGAGAAAGCGTGGGAAGATTAACTGGAGTACGATGGCTTAGACAAGGCTTTCAAGGCATATCACGGACAGCTGAGAATGGGGAATTGGGTTGAACCTTATAATACAGAAGGAAAACGCTTGGTTCCTGATGTCGTAAAACGTTGAACAAACAGGAGCACAGTGGACATGGCTAAAGGGAAAGAGTATGTGTCACATGTGCACTAATGGCAGACTGCGATGGACAATCGCAGTCATATAGCGATTAGCGTTAAACTAAGCACGCAAGTCGATGATATTGCGAGCTGCCAATTTACCACACATCTGGTAATTAGGGCACAGAGGTCTTCCTGGACTGAGACAGGATGGTAGCATTGTAAAGTACTCGTAAAGTACAACAGACAGAGCTTTCCGAAGAAACTTGGCACACGGAGAACTTAATCCAGAATGGCTAGCCGCATTGTCAAATGCATGATAGCGAAGTTCTTGCGTACTAAAGCCTACTTTACCGCTAAACAGCCCTCCATCATGGGACTTCGGCGGCAGTCGATGTGGTGAAAAGGGAGCGTCGTGGAACCAGCGACAAAATACAGTAGACAACTTGGTAGGACCTAGGATGCGCTGTTAGAGTTAAAGACCCTAGAGTGATGCAACAAGTTTAAACAGAATAGGGGGTGAGCAAGTGACTCTTATTACATGGTCTCACCCATGTTGGGCTGAATAAAGAAGGTTGATTACCCATAAATGAGGGTGACAATGTAAAGACGCGTCTATAACGGAACTAATGAAACCAATCGGATCAGCACGTGGTGGTAGAAAAGTCCCAAAATATCCGCTCTGAAGCTACGGGTTATGAGCTGCGCAGAACTCCTTTGGTGATGTGAAGTGAATCGTCCGCAGCTGTTGCTTACATTCTCGGTTCTGATCTTTGTCGCAGAAAGCTTACATGACCAGAACCATTACTGCGTCACACAATATAGGCTAAGTGGTCTGCGCGCCTGGCTTGCAATCATAAGGACACAGTTTGAATCGGCGTAGGGGACGGATGTCCTCGCGGTATACTCAGCCCACGCGTGACTGGTGGTGATCGCGTGGTAACGAAGCGCCACTACGGTGTACAGTTCGCGATTATTTTATTTATTGTTTTGTCCCAGGAGCTTACAAGCTACATAGCGCAGCCTAGCTCGGAAAAGCACTAGACGCGTTTCGCCCTATTGGGGCTCGTCAGTGGTGCAAATTCCCTCGGCCCCCTACTGGGGATCGAACCCATGACCGCTAACGACAGATGCCAAATAGCCAACAGCTTAAGTCACTGAGCCGTGGGGGACATCGGTTGGGCTACATAATTTGCAAAGTAACTGGGATATAGGACAATCTACTCCTACTTATTAGTAATATTTTATTTATTATTATATGGGGTGAAATGAGAAAGACAATGTTTAATTCCCTGTCGATTAAAATACCTAGTAATTGCCGGTGGTAATGTAACCTTCCCGCGCATTTTCGTCGCCTGTTTAAGTGAACTACACCGGTCAATTCTACGCAATATTCGCAAAAAGTTTCAATCTCGATGACTTCGTGTAAAATTTAATCTGCCATTGGATGGAGGAAAGCGACTTATCCACATCAGAAGGAATGGCAGTGTAGGCAGCGAGCCTCTCGGAAAGGAGCGGTAAATGAATAAAAGGCGACAGCCGCAATCGTCGTGAAAGGGACTAAAATACGGAAATCAATGAAAGGAAATGGAAAGGGTCAATAAACCAAATGTCATTTCTAAAGTATTGAGGTCGTATCCACTTCACAAAGTATGACAAAGCACCGCGTATGTTCCGACAGAAAGGAGTATGTAGAACACAGGCAAATGGTCCTTAGAAAGTGAGAACATCACCGGCAAGGCGTTGTAAAATGTTAGCGTGAGTGGAAAACGATGGGTCAAAAGTGCGAAACAGAAAGAGCAATTAGGACAGCTTATGGTGAGTAAAATGTACGACACGGGTACAACGCATGCGACCGAGAACTCCTTTGCATACCATAAGCGAAGGGTTAGTTTAAGTGTCAAGCTCAGCAACTGACTCATCGGCTAAGAAGTAAACCAGTGAGTGACGCGATTCACTAGCCGTGTGCATGACTCACGTGGGAGTGTAAAGGGCGGATAGGCAAGCCAACTTCTCGTTCATGGGCATCCGCAGATTAGGTGCCTTGCTAAAGAAATGAGAATGACTTGAAGCTAGCGCTGCTTCTGTAAGGTGTTGTGAAGCAAAGGTGCGCTATTTTTGTATGTTGGGCGTTTAGACAAACTAGAATACAATGGTGCAACTGAAAGTAACGCGCTAAGCGTAAAGCATCTGCCGTTTTGGGGTGAAGAATTGAAACATTTGCGAGAACGAACGAGTACACAGGTAATCATGATGCCAAGGAGACGGAAAGAGAAGCTTGCGTAAAACCGCCCTAGGCTAACAAAAAAACATTAGTTGGAGAGAGGTTGTTAGCAATTCACAGAAATCAGTGCACTCAGGTAAAATGTCATCATCTCTTATCGTCATGCCATAACACATACAATGCTGACCAGGCAATCATATGTATTTATCATGGCGCATGGTAGAATATGAAATGCCCCAACAGTAGTTTCACTCTTGCTGGTAAGTTGTAACCATGGGATGAGGGAGCGAAACTACAGTAAACCGACTTGGGGAGATGTAGCACTAGTAAGAGGCTCTTAACGATGACAACAGGAGCGTGCACAGATAAGACACTTTAACAAAACAAACTCATGACTCTAAAAAGTACAATGGAACAATGTCAACAGAATCGCTCGTTTTCCATCAGGTCAGACAATACACAACGAAGTTGACTCTGCACGCAAGATAACAATAAGAAAAGTACTAACCGAGTGAGATTTTTGGACAGATCGAGGGTGACGTAATTGGATGGAAACCAGCCCATTAAAGCAGGTCGACCCTCGGTGATCAGGACACCGCGCCACCAACCGTCTGAACTTTTTTCAAGTACGCGAATTTTGTCTCCGCGTTCGATGGACAACTCGTCCGGTTGACTGGCCGGATATGCGAACAAAGCCTGACAAGTGTGACGGCCCATTCCGCATCCGGTCCCAAGATATGCTGCATTGTCCAAAGGACCGGAAACCGCCTGGGAGAACTGGTGTGAGCTTAGCACCGCATGACCGTTCTGCTTCAAACTAGCGAAACTAGCTCCGTCGTGTCCTGAAGTAACTACGGCAGTCGCCGGAGTGGACTGGGAAGGTAATCAAAGCATGAAAAACAAGACGGATCAGGTTGTACCAGATGAATAAAACGAATAATTGTAGTTGCCTGACGAGAATTGTCGAAAAGAAACTTCTTCGCAACTGTTTTAGATAAAGTTGGCTATAGGTATAATTTACGAGGTAAAACTGGAATTCTTGGCCGATTTTTAGAGTCTCAGCAATGCTAGTATTTGAGCGCATGGAAGACCATCTAGCATATTTCTCAAAAACGTGAGGCACGCCAGAGTTGTCCAATTCACCCTTCCTCTAAAAGGTTGCAAAAGAAGTGACAAAATAAAGACGAGCTCGAAAAATTTGGACGGTGTCTGTAAAGCCGATCGCAAATGGAGGTGTGAAACGCCTAAACACACACAGGATTCGCATTGTAAAGAGTAGGGATCTGCTATAAGACTGGAAATATAAGGAATGAGACCAAAACTAGATAACTAGTCACTAGAAGTGTTCAGTTAGACTCTGAAAGAACCGCGTCTATTTCGTAGCCGGAATCCTGAACACACTCTGAGCATACAGATGTATGGGAAAAAGTAGAAAGTGCATAAAACCAGTGGGGTCATTTATCATCGCCGTCATCACTGAAATCAGCACCAGTGCCATCGCCAACGCCGATATCTACAGAATTATGACCTTTGCTATAAGCAGCAACAGATCAGTGATCGCAGCTGAAGTCGTGGCCGGACGACCAAAAAAAGTGGTAACAACTAAATGGTGATCAAGAGGATGAGAACCGGAAGCAACTGAAATCTAAACGCCCCATGCAAATATTTAGGAACAAGTTGAGTAAACGCTACCAACAACACCCGGTTCATAATGACAATCATCATCATCATGGCACGATAGCTGAGGGAGGGTAACACCGCAGGTATTGTGCCACAATACAGAAAGGCAAGATAAATGAAAAGAGCGAGATACCACACATTACAAAACACAAAAATATAGAGAAGAAATATAATGTTAAGTATAATGTTATGTATGGAGTGTGAGATTGTTGTTGGAGAATAAGGATACACGAAAGCAGGAGGGGGGATGGACAAAGAAACTCACAACACAAACGTCATTGAGGTCAGTTCTTCGACAGGTCAATTAGTGTACCCAGCCAAATGTGTTCATCGTCTTTCGGATCTCAACCGGCAATCGAGAGACACCAACCGACGCCAACTTCGAAGTGAGAGTTTTCAAACCTCTTGAGCAAGTCATTGTCTGGACTCCCCTCCTCATTTTCCATCTACACCCCCGGAGTCGCAAACAAGGCAAGATACAGAAGTCGGTATGCTAGCATACGTAACACGTGGCCCACCCATCGGAGTCTGGTGCGTGATATAATGATGCTGGGCGGTTCACTAGCTCTTCCTGCACCAAATACATGACAACCAACACGCTTATTGCCAACGCGGTGCTCTCATCAGACGTGAGCTAAGCTGCGAAGCAAAGTTTCTTTATATCTGTCAACCTGATAGGCAAGGGTTCGTATCTGCACAGAAGAGTTAAACGGATGGCTGCGTTGTAAAATGCGTACTTCAGGGCAACAGTGATATTGCTCCGGCGTCGCAGATTGCACAGGTTAGCAAGAGTGCCTTGAGAATAAAAAAATATTTATTTTGCTATACGATTCATCTTCTATTCCACAGGCGCTAATACAGCTGCCTAAGTACTTAAATCCCGGAACGATGTCTAACTGATCCCCGCTCAGGATGGGTCTCCGGGTGTTAATCTCTTCAGATGAAGTGCAGAAGCCGCGTGGAAGTGTCCAAAGCAGGCCTAGTCCATTTGCGTGCAGTCTATTCGTGTTGTCGACAGACATCAGATCACAGAGTGAGAGTACGTCTATATGCTTCAAGGAACTGGTGGGATTCAGTGGGTGGTCGGCCAGGATGTACGCACGCCCACTACCAACCCTCTCCAGGCGCAGGAGATTCGTGAATTCTAAGCTCAAAGGAGCAATAACTCTACACCTGAATATCGAGCGCATGTGAAGGTGCGACTTGTTGAACATCACCAAAGAAACAGAGCAGTGTAGCATGATACTGGGCTTCTGTTGACAGAAAACTGAGTACTATGGTGACACGAGCGAAGATAGAAAAAGTGCACTGGTGTTGCAGCTGCCAACAGTTTAACTGTGAACAAGGTAGAAAACACTAATAGTGAGTACTGAGAAATAGGTAAGAAAGGACCACAGAAAATGAAGTGACGAAAGCAGGAACCTGATTTCCATTGCCCGTCCAAAGGTAGCCAGAAGACAACGCGCTGCGCTTGAGTCCGCCACATGAACGATGAGGTGGAGAACGTGAAGTTTTTATTGCAGCGAAATGAGACGAAAATTCCTTGATCTGGCATACGGTTCTAGGTCTAACACCTGACGCAAAATGCATATATATATATATATATATATATATATATATATATATATATATATATATATATATATATATATATATATATGTATATGGTGCTGGGAACACTTTCTACTGGACTGGAAATCACGAAGCAGCACCACGTGAACAAGGCGTCGGACCAAAATTTCTGACCGCCTGAATGGTCGCTTGACGGGGAAGCCGTTTATGTGCAGCCCGTTTGACGACATCAGCTAAGGTTGATTCACGAAGTAGTAAAAAACGCTGTTCATTTGCGATTTCCGCTTATGCTCCCACCGATTGCAGTTCAGATGTTGTCAAGAACACATTCTATGACGAACTGAACGCGCTATTACGCAGTGCTACTAGTTCAGATATTATAGTACTTGCAGGGGATATGAACGCACAAGTAGCGCATCTGAGCCCTTCAGAAGCTCAGCTGGGTGGTAAGTGTGTGCTTAAATACGAACGGACTGACAATGGTGAGCGTCTGCTGCAACTGTGTGCGGAGCACCAGCTGTTTCTTAGTAACACTGCTTTTAGACACAGTGGGCGCCGAAGTGCCACTTGGCGTCCTCCTGTAGCTGGCCAGCGATAGACCCAAATTGACCACATAGCCATAAGTTACAGATGGCGTCGTTCCATCTTGGACTGCCGCTCGTGCTGGAGTACCTGTGTCGACTCTGATCATACCTTGGTACGCTCTCGTTTCTACATGAACTTTACCGGAAGGCGCACCAAGCGTCCCCTACGATTGGCAACTGAGAAATTGTCCCAGCGATCGGTCAGGAAAGCCTATCAAGAAGCACTGCATACCGAACTACCGCTGTCTTGTCCTAATGACACCGAGCTTCAGTGGAATAGGATCTCGGCCGCCATGCACGACACAGGAGCATCTGCTTGTGGCACTATCCATGGTCACCGCACAAGTCACTGGATATCCGAGAGGTCGGTGAACCTGTTGGAAGCTAGAAGACACCTCCCGGCTGGCTCTGAACACAATGTGACCAGACGGGCTATTAGGCGTGAACTAAAGCGGAGCCCACGTGATGACAAGGAAGCCTGGTGGACCAGTAGGGCTCAAGAAATGGAGGAGGAAGGAGCAGTAGGCAACTACCGCAAGCTCTTCCAGCTAATCCGCACCACTGGTCCCAGAAAACCAGGTGTCAGTGAGACAATCAGAGACAGCGCAGGTGCGCTGATACACAATAAGGAGCGCCGTATGGCTCGATGGACGAGACACTTTCAAGATCAGTTCAGCTGGCCCCATGCTCCCGGACCTCTTCCTACTCAGGTGATGCAAGACGAGCCATAGACGGTTAGTTTAGAGTCTCAGTCTGAGGCCAAAGTCTGAAAAGCAATCATAGCCCTCAAACGTTTTCGTGCCGCTGGCCCGGATTCCCTCTCACCTGCACAATTTAAGGATGGAGGTGAGGTCCTCTGCAAAGCACTGACCTCCCTATTTGAACGTATCTGGAAGGAAGACAGTGTCCCGGCTAATTGGAGCGATTCGATTATAGTGACAATATACAAGAAGGGCAGTCGCACAGACTGTTCTAACCACAGGGATATTAACCTAACGCCAGTTGTGACAAAATTACTAGCCTTGATTCTCATTCGTCGCCTCACTGCGGAACGGGAATGTCGGATTAGGGAAGAGCAGGCCGGCCTCCGCTCAGAACGTGGCTGTATAGACCATATATTTACTTCGCGGCAGGTGCTAGGCCAGCGCGTTCGTCAGGGTTGTCCGATTTCCCCGTTTCTGTTCAATTTCGTCGTGGATTCTATCATGGAGTGTTCCCTTGCGGAATCTCACGATGTAGGCGTTGAAGTGCTGCCTGGTGAAAGGTTAGTTGGTCTAGATTATGCGGACGATATCGTTTTGCTTTTCGAAGATGTTGGGACGGACCAATCAATCCTGAATAGCCTGTCCAGAGTGGTCCAATTATTTGTATGCACTTCGCACCTTCGAAGTGCCAAGGGTTGCTGCAGCACCACCAGCCACTTGATGACCCCTTGACGCTTGCTAACGAGGAACTCGAGGTGGCTGATCATTTCGCTTATCTTGGCAGCTGCGTCAGCAACGATGGGCGCATAGAAACTGACGTCAGCTCAGCAATTGCAAAAGCCGGAGCTGCCTTCTTAAATCTGCGGCATCTTTGGCGACAGAAGGGAGTTTCCCTTCGTCTGAAAGGCCGGGTATACAAGGCCACAGTGAGGGCCGTTCTGCTCTATGGTAGTGAGACTTGGCCCCTTCGGTCTGAAGATCTGAGGCGCCTTCAAGTCTTTGATCATCGTTGTCTGCGTAGCATTGCTGGTGTCGGATGTCACCAGCGTGTCCGCAACGATGATGTGTGTAGGCGAGTACTAGGTGGTGATAATCATGCTAGCTCCCTAGAACAACAGATAGCACTGAATAAGTTGCGTTGGCTCGGGCACGTGCTACGTATGCCCGGTCACCGCTTACCTAGGAGGGCCTTGTTTAGTCTGCCAGGTGTAGGGTGGCACAAGGCTCGCGGTGGACAGAAGTTGACTTGGCAACGGAAAATGAAGTCACTGACGACCAAACTTGGTGCCGTTGGTCCGTCTCGCCTTCCGGACTGGAGTCCACGTGACTCGCC